GGAAAATTCTCCTCAGTTCAAGCTTGGTTCTGTTCTTGATTAGTTTCCATCCATAGCTTCTTGTGCTTCCTTCAGATGCTTTGGAAAATAAATTGACCCCTCTTTTTTTGGCAACCTCTTGTAGCACAATAGTACCCTGTTTTCCCCAAAATAAGACATCCCCTGATAATAAGCCCAATTGGGCTTTTGAGTGCATGGCAATAAGGCCAAGCGCTTATTTCAGGGTTCAAAAAATTATAAGACAGGGTCTTATTTTCGGGGAAACACGGTAGCACAAAGATTTTCGGGAAGAACAGTAGAGGGATTTTATGTAATAAGCTGCCACATCTAATCTTTGCTGCACCAATTTCCATTTTTTGTAGTGCAGACAAAGGAAGTTGTATGGTCATCAGCAGCAGCTACATTGTAATAAATGAACTATTTGTATGAAGAAGAAAAAAGGGGTGTGAATAGGTCGAGTTTTCCTCCTAATAGCTTCTATGCATCTTAACCAACACAATACCATCCAGTGGTTGGTTTCAAAAAATTTTTACTACCAGTTCTGTGGGTGTGACTTAGTGGGCGTGGCAGGGGAAGGATACTGTAAAATCTCCATTCCCACCCCACTCCAGGAGAAGGATACTGTAAAATCTCCATTTCCTCCCAATCACCTGGGACTCGGAGGGCAGAGAATAGATGGGGTGGGGCCAGTCAGAGGTGGTATTTACCGGTTCTCTGAACTACTCAAAATTTCCGCTATCGGTTCTCCAGAACTGATTAGAATCTGCTGAAACCCACTTCTTATACCATCCAATATAATTAATTAGTAATTATATAAAACAAAAAAAGTATCCTTTCATAAATATGCAGTCAATGCCAAATTCACTTCCAGAATATGTGGGAATGATCACTATCATATATGGCTATTTGATTGGATTAGGCACATTAATAGATGAAAAAGCCACTAAATTGCTCTAATAAATGTCTCAGACACCTCAATCAGGAACAAAATACAAATAGTAGGAAAAAGAAACCAAAATCTTTGCCTCTATCCATGTGTTTTCTTCTGGATAAAACCAGTTTGCTTTGTGGCCTGCTAAGCAAATTAGGTATAACATTATTTAAAATTTGTGGCGGCAAGTGTATACCCAAAGGCTAAAGAATATGAGATAGAGGAAAAAACAGAACAGGCAAGTTTATTTTTTATTTTCTGAAATATATTGTAAAATAGAAGGGAAGCAAAAAGAACTGATAAAATTTAATTTTCATGTAGCAACATGGCTATATCACTGGAAGCAGACCCAATGTGATTACAGATACTCATGTCATTAGTCCACAATGGCTTTTAAATGAGCCAGATTGAATTAAGAATCCTAATGGAAGTTGTATTCAGAGTAAATCAGAAAAGCCAGAGTCACTGGTGGATGACACATTTATTACTCAGTTCCTTCAAAAAGGGTCAGGAGAAACACATATACTTTCTGGGTCGCACAAACTACCTCTTTAGACGAGTTGAAAAATACACAAAATGAATTGTTCAGATGAGAAAGGAAAGGAGGGGGGAAAATGATAAGGAAAAGGGAAAGTGTATTGTAGTATTTGTTTGCAAATGCTACTGGTTATTTAGGGAAGATTTGAAGTTTTTCCTAAAAAGAATTTACAAAAGTACTTCCCAAATCTTAGTTCTTTCCTCTGTTTCCCTCTCTCTCTCTCTTATGATGGTGTTTTAAATAGAATTAACAAAAGCTGACCATTTTTCATGCACACTCAAGAAAGAAGAATGCCTGACCCAGATTTCTTCTGTCTAGCACCTTTCAGATGTGCAGATGATGAACTGCTGCTTTTTTCATCCCCAGTTAGATGGTCATGTTGTCAGATATAGACCAACGCATGTGGAAGGCAACAAAATAGGAAAGATTAATCTAAGCAAATCATAATATATATAGATAGATACAGATAGAGACTATGTATTGGGGTCTGTGTGATAGGCACATAGGCTGTGCAGATGGTAAATCTGAGATGCTGTAATTTTTCATGACACATTAAAATACACAAGAATATTGTGTGTTTGCCTTTTGCAACATCTCTTGCTGGCTTTCCCATTGACTTTTCCTGTAGGAAGCAAGCAAAGAAAGTCACAAATGGCACGGTGCCAGATGTGACCATGGGATGCTGTATACAACATAAATACGAAGGCTGATCATAACCGCTTGTTCAGTATTGTTCGAACAGTTGCTGAATGAGAAGTCATTAAGCGAGGACCACCTCTACATGTACAAAAATAATGATACATGGCAATCATGCTACTTACTTTTGGAATAAACAATATGTAGCAATGTGAAGTAGCGGACAGAGAAATAGCACTATATCGTGCTACCTTCCTGTTATTGTAAACCATCCCTGGCTCCACCATTTCCATATGCTTACGCATACATTGCTTTTCGTTTTTTATATTTTTAATATTTCTTCCTCTTCCTCTCTCTCAGGACCGCTATAATCACTTAACCATCATACCACACTGCTGTGTGTATATTTATGATAGTGGTTATGAAGCTGGACTAGGAGTGGGGATATCCAGTTGCTAATCCTGTGAAAGCTAGCTGGGTCATTTTGGGCCAGTGACGCTGTCTTAGTCTTAGACTGGAAAACTGACAAGTATCTATCTACACCACATTGGAATAACAGAGTCAATTAAAGTCCATAACCTTCAATGGCTTTCATCCTATAGGGAACTGATTTTAATTAATTGTCATTATAAAACAGCCCATATTTCATTCATATTGGTCACTAATAATGTATATGGTCCACATTCATTCATCACACATTCATTCTTGCTTTGTCATGCATTCTTTCTAAGAGCCCCAATTTCTACCACCTACAGTTTATGTTTTATATTTTTATGAGATACCTAACCATCAGTTCCATATGACAAAGTGGGCAGAAGTATTCCCTTGCACAAAGATATTTTCATTTGTCTTGACAAGCATTATCTTTTGCAACAAACCACATATTATCCACTATCTTTCTATGACATCTTAAAATTTCTTTTTAAGAAATATAAGATGCACATCTTAAAATTTCTCCACCCATTTTTATCTCTTTAATAAATATTCTACCAAAGTACATAAATTCATCCTCTTGTTTGTTTTCTACCATTTATATGTACAATAGCTTCCCATTGTCCATTGCATTTTCCCTGTTAAAATACAACTGTTTCATTATACTGCTTCTAGTTTCTTTGAATCGCTTGAACCCGATGTCTGATGGTGAAGAATCAGTGCTTTGCAACTTTACACTGGCTTCCTGATGTACAGTAGATGAGCAATTAAGATGTTCGCTTCTAAAATTCTCATTTTTCTATGGATTTCTAACTAACTAATTCAGGATCCATCTTTAGGGATTAAGAGACATATTTGAGGTCCTCTTTAAAAAAAATATACTGTTCTGACCTAGGCTTCCTTACAGGGGTGAAATCTAAAATTTGTTACTACCGGTTCTGTGGGCGTGGCTTGGGGGGATAATGTGACTGGGTGGGCGTAGCCATTTTTTTTTTTTTAACTTTTAAAACCATTTTTTCTACAACCTCTCCGGCAAAGAGGTTGTAAAAAAATGCTTTCAAAAGGCTCTGACGATCCCAGCTTAGTTGCCTGATCAGTAGAGACTTTTTTTCTTTTAAATGCCTCTGACGATCAGGCAACTCAGCTTGGATCGTCAGAGGCATTTAAAAGAAAAAAAGGGTTTTTTTCTTTTAAAAGCCTTTGATGATCCCAGCTGAGCTGCGCGATCATTAGAGGCTTTTTTTTTTTTACTTTTAAAAGCATTTTTTCGGCCGAAGAGGTTGTAGAAAAAATGCTTTTAAAAGTAAAAAAAAAAAACCTCTGATGATTGTGCAGCTCAGCTGGGCATGGGGGGGGGGGCACAGATTTTTGCTACCAGTTCTCCGAACCACCCGCCTCCATCGCTATCGGATCAGGCGATCCAGTCCGAACCGGGAGCATTTAACCCCTGCTTCCTTAGAAAGTATAAAGCACAATCTTAGTCCCGGTAAAACCGCTTTTATTTACACAACTGTGAATTATTGTCATTCACAGTCCACAAGGCTTCACAAACAGTCTTTCAGGGGAATGTTTATAAATACCCACCTTATCTCCCTTGGAATGCTGCCAGAGAACTAATTGCCAAACGCAGGGCAAGGCCAAACTTGGCAAAAGCTCACATCCTGTTTGCTCCTCTTTTATGTCTTATGGGAAGGGCCAATCATCTCCAAGCCTTACTCCCAAGTCGACTCTGTTTTCTTAATTGCTCTTGCCTTCTGACAGCTCTGCACATGTGCATACTGGGAACAGGTTCCCGCTGTTCTGCCTCGCTGATGTCAGACTCCTGAGGCTCCGGAAGTTCCGGAGGCAGCACATAACTATCAGACGGCCTTGGCCCCCTCTCTGCCTCCGATGCAGAGCCCTCATCTGAACTTTCCCCAGCCCCCAGAACTGGCCCAAGTTCCTTCCCAACCTCCTCACTGTCTGACTCTGCTGCCAGCTCCACTGGTCACTGGCAGGCCACAACATATACTTGGGCAATCTTTCAAATATTGTCGAAGTGGAAGTCTGCATCACATTGACCATACTGGTTTAAACTCACCATAACTGAAGTTCAGTAACTTTGAAAGATGTCACATTACTAGTTCTTAATTTGAAGCAATGAAAATCTGATAATTGTGACTGCTGAACAGGATTCATTTCTCAAATGTTCTGATGTTAATTAAGTGCTAGAGCAATAGCATGCTATAACAATACCTCTGGGGATGTCTGAATAGTACATAGATTTTAAAACAATTGTTGAGTGAAAGTTTTGGATTTAAAATGGTGCTTGTTCTATTGTATTCAATAATATAAAGCACATTCAGCTTATTTCATTGTGCATTTTAGACATAGTGGTTCCCTTTGGGGCCAATTGTTTGTTCCATCTAAGTATAAAGTGTAATAAACCTTCCTGAGGATAAATCTTTGCCTTGTCTCTTTCAGTCTGTTATTTATTGAACAACGACTTCAATCCCGATCTGTGCAATGAAGATGGATTAACTGCACTGCATCAAGTAAGCATTTTGTAAAGCAGAAATGTGACATCATTCAGGGAGAAAGGAAGAAAAATAGTTCTATATCAGGACTTCTGTGTTGCTAGTGTAGAGGTCTAGGGACAGTAAGAAATAGTCAACTGCAATACATGTAAGTAGTTACTATCTTAAAGAAATCAAATCATATTTTTCCTGCTACTCTTTGGGAAAGCTGGTATGTAGTATGTAGCTGGTATGTAGTATGTAAGAAAACAGTAGTATGTAACTACTGTTTTCTGTTATGAAAAACCTGTCTGGAACAGAAGTTGCATTTTTACTTCCAATTCTGTTAATTGATTTTGACGCCTGATTAAAGTTAAGAAAGTGACATGGGTGGTGTTGGTGGTAGGAATTAATTATCCTCCTTCAATTCTAAATCCCTGCATCCACCATACTTGCATTTATTCAGAAAAAAACTTTTGGCTGCAACAGCTCTTCTAGTCTAGTCACTCTAGACAGTATTGCATTTTCTTCTTTAATTTAAATGGAAGAAGTTCCCATCAGCAGATAAAATTGCAAATGAGTTAAAAGATAAGCAGCAAGAGATCCCTGGAAGTCAGCCTGCATGTTAGGGATCTTGCAAAGTAAGAAGTAAACATAATAGATTGATTGTAGTAATTATAGTACAAGTTATAATTTACTGATTTTTCCTATTTATCAAGGTCTCTATTTTGCTTAAGGATAAAAATGGGTGAGAATAAGTCTTGGATTTTATATTTTTAAAAACAAGAGCTCTGCCATTGTTTTCATATCCTCATAATACGAAATGAAGTCTTGAATACAAGCCAAAATTATCAGTACACCAGTCCCCAGTCTCCTTCCGTGTTCCATCATGATTTTATGAGTTCAGTATTAAGTCATCTCCTTATTTTTCCTTTCTCCAGTCCCCAGGCTTTTGTTTTAATGTTTTACTTACCGAAAATTAAGAGAGCTCCAAAATTTGCACATTGGTCTAATAAAGATATTGCTTAACAGATCTTTCAGAATGTAGTTGTATTGGCAACATAGCCTATTCAACTATTTGCTTTTTGATTCTTTTTCCTGTTGCTACATTTTCTTTCTTGCTTTAATTAGCATATCATCCAGAGCAGAGGATGATTTTGAAATATAATAATTAAATAAAATAACAAAGGTAATCATATAAAATATTGCACATTAGAAGGCAGGTTGTTTAGACAGGTTGAATTCTGTCTCTTTTTCCATCCCCCCCGCCCCCCGTCCTGAAATCAGTGGGCTAGTGGACTTTTGGAGTGGGAGGCATCATTTTGAGATTTCTCTTTAAGCTTTAAGTTCTTTGGAATGCCTTGACATTCATATAACCTGAATTCATTCATAGATTTTTAATGATAAATGTAAGTGTTGCTGAATAATGTTAATCTGAGATGTTGCTTTATACTAGGGGTTTCAAATTTTTTCAATTTTTTAAAAAAATCATTGAAAACAAAATCCTAGAACTTCTGATCAAGAGGCAGACCTCTAGTGATAGAAAAGCAGCTGTTTTTGAATGAGCTTTGTTCTCTTTTGCTCTTAGTTTCTCATGGAGCTTCCATCAAGTTGTCACAATTGTCTAGATTCCACAGAACACAGTTTGAAAAACTCTGCTTCAGGGTAGATTTGATTGAAATCAAGTCAATTTAATTCACAATTTACATCATGATTTAAATCATTAGTAAAAAAGCTTGATTTAAATCAACGTGATTTAAATTATAATTTTTAAAGAGCAACTGTCATCTCTGTCCCGCAGCGGTTTCTCCTCTGACCCATTGTTGACCCACTGACAGTCCCATTCACTTTAATGGGATGGCTGGTGATGCGGCAGTGACACAAGGTGAGGGACATGTGTGAGTGGATGCCCATTAACAGGCTGCCATGATGGATCTGAAATGACGGGTGCTCTTTAAATGTAAGGACTCATTCTTGCTGCTAGTTAGAATCTTTAATATTATTATTTGCAAACAAAATGAAAGTTTCCTATTTAGAGTGCATATTATCTCAGCTTGCAGAGCTTGGGTTCATTGAATGAGTTTACCAAAAATGTAAATATTGCAGAATATACAGCCTCATGTTACATAACTAAGCTCCATTTTATACTGAAATTATTAATGTATCCTAAATAGAAAACTATCTTTAAATAGATTTTTACTCCAAAAACATGTTATTAAAATAAATACAATAAAAATAAAAAAAAATCAATTTAAATTAAAAAGAAATCCAATTTAAATTTTTAAAAAATCCATTTTTTAAAAAATCAATTTTTATCCACCCTGCTCTTCTTTATCTCATCTATAAAAATGGAAGAAGAGTATTGGATTTTAAAAGATCATATTTGGCTTCTTTTTGCTCCTAACATTTGACATTAAATTTACCAAAGGTGTTATAAATTAATTGTATGTTTAAATGAAAATTTCCCAGGAATTCCTAAGAGAAGTGCTGAGTATCAGTTGCTGTGTGTTGTATTAGGAAGTCCAAAGAATCTAAACCAGGGTGTCAAACTCAAGGCCCAGCCCACGTGGTGCTTAGATCTGGCCCGCCATCCTGGAAACAGCAAAAGACCGGCCCGTGGTGCCTCTGCCAGTGAAAACAGAGCTCAGGAGGCTCATGGGTGGCCCTCACGAATTCTATTTTTGCTGGCAGAGGGTTGCAGGAAGCTGTCGCAGCTGAAAACAGAGCTTGGAAGCCCGTTTTCACTGGCCGAGCGCTTGGGCCACCACAGGCGCCCCTGACACAAGTGATGTCGAGCTGGTCATGCCCCCTGGCCATGCCCCCCAACCCCCGAGGTCAAACACAACCCTGATGCGGTCCTCAGTGAAATTGAGTTTGACACCCCTGATCTAAACGAATGACATATTCATTCATGGGTACAACTTGAAAGCTTGTTATGAAAATAAATAAAAAGAGGGCTCCATCTTTACCACTCAGAAGATGCTCCTGATGTGTACAATAAAATCTCAGTGCTATGGACTTCTTTAACAGCTCATTGAATTTTCATTTAAATTGTTACCTAATACATTTCACATCCCTGTGAGCCAAAATCTTAAGTGAGATGGTTCCAGAGATTGCACTATTATCTATATAAAGAAGACCATTGATACTTGAAGTTCTTATAAATTAAAACTTTTTTGTAGTGTTGGAGAGAGTATTGCAGAATATCATTGTCTGAGGTGCACACTTCCATTTTTATGTGTCAGATTGATTTTTCTGCTTTTGATTTCACACTTTCTTATGAATGCTGGATTATAAAAAGATAACGTCTGTATTAGTGAAATGAAAAATTATTTTTTGACGGATCTGTTGGCAGGTGGCCATTGGATATTGCCTATGAGAAATAATACATACTTTTCACTGACACCAAATTCTGAACCTGTGCTTGGAACTTTTTTATGAAGTATGTTTCAGTATCTACATCTATAAGGCAAAGAAAGGGACTTAGCCAAAAGCTGTTGGTAATCTTTCTATTTAGGTTTGCATCATGGAATGGAAGAATAAATGCAATTACAAGATTAGGTGATTACATCTCATATTGCAACATGAATCTCCTCATTGTGAACACAAAGCTTGTCTTCATCACCTTGACATATCACTTTCAATCATTTGAATGTTATCAAGGCATCAATACTCTGTCAGGTGGCAGTAAAGTAAAAGTCACTCCATTGCTTCAGGGGGCAGAAATCATCTGTACAAATTAAAGCTTAACATTACTGGTTTGATTTCTTAACAGTGCTGCATAGACAACTATGAAGAAATAGTTACACTCCTTCTGAGCCATGGGGCCAATGCCAATGCAAAGGACAATGAACTGTGGACTCCTCTGCATGCAGCAGCAACATGTGGACACATCAATCTAGTGAAGATCCTGATTCAGCAGTAGGTGACCTGTGATACTTGACATTTTTGTTGACCCAATTTTGTGCTAAACCAATTCTACACAGAACCCCCCCCCCACCTTAAAACATATGTGAAGACAAATTGGGTAAAGCGTGGAGCTGTATGTACTGTCCTCACCAGCGTCCCTATATTTATGCACCTACTATTGCAGATCTCCATGCAGTCAGCTGGAAGATCTAAATAGGAGCTATATTCACATTTGATTAATGAGATTTTCCTATGATCCTGGCTTCCGATTTATGCAGAAAGCTATACTCCCATTCAAATAACAGAGTGCAATTAGACATTTTTGCTTAATGTGAATAGATCAGGGAAAGCATGAGTGTGGTCAGTGTCAGGGTTGGGTTCTACTTTCCTTTACTACTGGTTCGCAATTGGAGCATGCATGCACGCTCACTTCGCTCGCTTGTGCGCTTCTGTGCAGATCGTCCATTATGATGTCCGGGTGGGTGGGTGGGCGGAGCCTCCCACTGCTTTTACTACCGGTTCGCAAGAACGGGACAGAACCGGGAGCAACCCACAACTGGTCAGTGTACATTGTCTCATCATCTGTCTATTCCGAATCCTTACAGGTTCAGGCAAATGCTTGAATAGAGTGTCTTCCATCTTTTGGGTGCAGACATTTTAGAAAACTGCAACAGAAAGATATCTTGTCTCTGATTTCAAAATATAAGCCCTTGAACAGCTAAAGTGTTCTCTTGAGGAGCAGATTATAGTGGAAGTACTGTATACTAGCATTTTTAAGAGGAAATTCTCATTAAAAGGGGTTTCTCAATAAAGAAATGTCTCCCTCAGCTTCCAGATATGTTATAAATCTATTTTCTTTGGGTAGATTGTAATTGCACCATATATCTTCATTCTATCAGAGCAATGGTGAAGCAGAAATTTTAGTGGAAAGGTAGGATAAAAAATGAAATACAGTATAGTGATGAGATCAAGACAACATAGTAATGAGATAGACACAAGATGAATAGCTTCAGTATCCAGTGACATAATGGTCTGGTAGGGTTTTTCCATTTGGGGCATATGTGCTGATTTGGGATCAACACCATACCGTTGCTATTGGTAGACTTTTCTACAAATATTGGCTGCAGTTTAATTCCAGCACTAAAGCAGTAAAGACACTTGTTCAGCAGAAATGCTAGAGCTGTCCTGGTGGACAGTTTTCAATTGGTGAGAATCACCTCATCCTGTTTCCCAGCTGCTCAGCTTTTTCTCAGTTCCTGTTGAAGTCAAATGTGTTGCTACCACTTCACAAGGTGTCATTTAAGGAGCTGAAGTGAGGTGGCTTTTTACCAAAATGGCAACAATAAATCTTGTAAGATACTTCTGAGCGTTTGAAGGATGGAGATGATGGTTGTGTAGAATGGATAGGCATGCTTCTTCAAACCCTCACAAGACTGTTTCACATGACTGTTAAGGTCACATGACTGTTAAGGTAAGAGTCCGTAACATTTTTCATCTACATCTAATTTATTTTGGGAAGAGTAAATTTTTGTAATTATGCTCTATTTTTTTTTTCATCTTCCTGCTTGAGATTATCTATGGTCTAAATTTAGTGGGGTTGTACATGAAAATAATACAGTGCTTTGGGCTTTACAGTGATGTGATGTGTTGCACAGCTTTATTTTTTAGTACATAAGCAAAAGTAAGTTCTTTGGTAAATTTGTGTATTTGTGTGCATGTGTGTCCATGTATATATATGTGTATATATGTGTATATATGTATAGATCTCTCATTATAATTTCTTAGTCATAGGGAATATACTTTTTATACCCTTTCTAGATCGGGACTCCTTACGCACGGTCACTCAAGCAGTCGTCACTTCTCGTCTAGACTATTGTAATGCTCTCTACATGGGGCTCCCCTTGAGGTGCACCTGGAGGCTCCAACTGGTGCAAAATGCGGCCGCGCGGGGGATTATGGGAGTGACGGGACGCTCCCACGTGATACCTCTCCTGCGCGAGCTGCATTGGCTTCCGGTGGACTTCTGGGTGCGCTTCAAGGTGTTGGTGACCACCTTTAAAGCGCTCCATGGCTTAGGGCTGGGGTACTTACGGGACCGCCTTCTGCCACCAATTGCCTCCCACTGGCCGGTTCGCTCCCACAGAGAGGGCCTCCTCAGGGTGCCGTCAGCCAGACAATGTCGGCTGGAGACCCCCAGGGGGAGAGCCTTCTCTGTGGTGGCACCTACCCTCTGGAACGATCTACCCCCAGAGATACGAGTGATCCCAGACCTCCGGACTTTTCATCGGGCCCTTAAAACTTACTTTTTTCAGTTAGCCGGGCTGGCCTGATTCTATGTTGGTTTTAAAGTTTGATACTGATTTTTAATTGAAATGTTTTAAATTATGGGCCAAATTTCATTTAATTATTTTTAAAATTATTTTAACTTTTGTGTACAAATGTTTTTATTTTGGCTGTTCACCGCCCTGAGTCCAAAAGGAGAAGGGCGGTATATAAATCTAATAAAAGATAAAGATAAAGATACGTAAGGTTCCAAGATGAATCCTTGCATCTCTAATTAAAAAGCAAAGATAGCTTGACTTGATCAGAATAGATAATAGCAGACTAGATGAACTAATACTGTAGCCTCACCTGGGATAAAGCAGTTTTTATATCCGTCTTTGAAATTGGCTGAAAACAATAAAAGCATCTCAGCAGTTAAAATAAAACAGTCAGATCTCCTCACTGAAACACACAAAAGGCACACCTTAATTAAACAGCTTGGCATTCTGCCAAAAGGAACCTATTATGGCACTAATCCAAATCTTTGGGAGCAAATATAAAGGTTGTGAAGCAAATAATTAAAGTGATGATTCTGCAGATGTCTTGCTTTCAAACTGGCCAAAGTTTAAAATGAAAAACTGGCAGTATGAATTGGGTCTAAAAAGAAATTGTAGCATTTGTTAATGGAACATGAAGATTCTAATTCAGAGATGAAGAAAGGGACTGGGCCATTCTGAGGAAAGATAGTTTCAGTGTTTAGAGCCAATACTGACTTTTCACCCCCTGCATTTTGCTCTAACGGTGGTCATCAGAATCTCAGTGACCCTGTTTTCTGGCTGCTCAATCCATGGTTGGTGTTATTCATGATTTAATGTATAAGAGGACCAATTTTGAATGCATTACAACCCTATTGTGCATGGAAAGGGGAGATGTTCTCAGAAATGTGGCTATCTGTGTGTGGCATCAGGTGTGGCTTTAGGGCAGTGAACTGGCAATTGTCATCTGAGAGATTCTGGTGGGTTTTAGGGGCACTACTCCAAAGATAACCAGATATGAGACACTGTTCATAATGTCAGACTGTAGGAATTAAATGGAACTCTTGCTAGTGAATCATCCTCCTGCTACATGGCAGCTTCCTTATGTGAACTGTTCAGTACTGGTTTGGCAGTTGTCAGGTTTGATGTGGACCAGGTCAGACACCACAACTTTTCCAGGAATGTTATTGTAGGGTATAGTAACAGATTCTTGTCAGAGTCTGTCAGAATTTTTCTCTGCCCCATTTTATGCTAAACAGAATCAAGGTGGTGTTATTTTGAGTTTCTTTCTCACACTTTCCATTTTCCCAGAAATTAGTTATAATTTTTCCTCTTTTAATGTTCATCCTTTCTTTTACCAAGGTCACCTCTATTTTCCTTTGCTGCAGCCGAGTTTCCCAAATGTATGATAATGGGAAGTGGGGGGGGGTGTAGACCCTTCATCTTGACATATCTAGTCAATTAGATTGAAACAGCTTTGGAGTTCAAGGCCACCATGGCAACTATAGACATCACCTGATCCAGATTTTTGAGGGTCACATGTTAGATCTGTTGGGGGGGGGTTGTCTCACAGTGATGGTGGGATATTAATATGTCTGTTTTTATGATCTGAAAACTCCCAATTACCTTTGCCATTCTCTCAGTTGTACTTTGCTACAGAGAAGGAGGACCTACAGTATTCATTTGGTCCACTCTAGATACTTAATGGACCCCATTAAGATTCAAAGGAAGTTGGGATTGTTCCTGTTGAGTTTCAAAGGAAATTGGAATATCCATTCAGGGATATCGCAAGGCTCTTTTCCCCCCTACTCCTTTTCAACACTGATATGAGGTGCCAGATGAGATGATTTGGTGAAATTTTATCAGTGTGCTGATAGTACTTGTAAATCTTTGCCCTATGAACTTGCCAAAGCTCTTTGCCAATGTCTGATGGCTGGGAGGAATGGGAAACAACTGGCTGTAGGTCAGTTCTAGCAAGATAAAGTATCTGTGTGTCCCTGCCCCCAACACATGATACATGGAGATTTATATAAATAACCTGACATAGAGCCAGGTTATTTCAGTATCAGCTGTCTCCAATTGTTTCTGCTTATTCAGACAGGTTGGACATACCCCAGATTGCATCTTTGAAGCAGTGTCACGTAGTGAGACCATGGAGATATATTTTTTCTGTCTCAATGTTTCCCTGTAGAATATCATTCTACCATGAGATTCAGATGGCCCAGTTCCATGTTCTGAAAAGCTCTAAAAAGGCGTCTATTTCCTCAGCAGTGGACCAGGATGTTAGATAAATCCAGCTGTATGGTTGTAGGTTGTAAGGGTCTTGAAAGCATTATATTAACATTATTGTTGTGGTTATTTTTATTTGAATTTTCGGATTTGATTGTTACGGTTTAACTGATTAACTATTCATGGTCTTGGAAGAAATATAGACCACCATAAAATATTTGAATGAATGAATGAATGAATGAATGAATGAGTCAGCCATCATATATTTACTCACTGTAGCCTATTTCTGAGTTGATCACAAAAGATTGCTACAGAAAAAAAAATACAGTGGGGAAAACTTTACATGTGCTTCCTTGAACTTGGAAGAGAAGGATATGCTTTGGCTATAGCATTCAGTAATAAGAATATAATACTTGTTTCATTGCAGCAGTTGAGCTTTTGGTATCAAAAGAGGCAATGGGTGGATTCACTTTTATTTGTTTATTTGCAGAACACAAAGCAGCATATGTTTGTTCTAATCAAAGCAGGATTCTGTCAGAAGTCTTTTGGATCAAAGAGCTTATTTAAGCACAAAATCAAAAGGCTTCAGTGTCAGAGCATGGAAGCCAGAGAGTAACAGCACACAAAGGAAGTCTGATCCTATGCTTTGTTTGCTGATATAGACAGAGAAACAGCTTGCAGGTGCATTTTACATTTTAATTTCCTCTGTTCTCATGGGGTAGAAAAATGAGCATAAATACCCATAAAAGTGGTTGGTTGGTCCTCTTCAAAGGCTTTCAGTATCAAGGTGGGTCAAGCTTAATCTGCACTGAACATTTTCATCTTGAAGTTCAACTAATTCAGAATACTTGGTACCCTTTGGGCAGTTTATCCGGGGATAGGTATCACCTATTGCAGCAGAATGGTGGGTTTCTCAATTTACAGTAGATATCTTCACAAAGTAGCTGGTAAAATAGAATGGAAGGATATTTTAGGGAAATGTGTGTATGGGACTATTGCTGTGTATCTTCCTTAATATCGAATCACAATAGAAAACCTGAACTAAAAGGAAAAATATTTTAATTCAGATAGGTGCTTGATTTTGAGCTATTTGTTCAGGTATATTTTGTTGTAAATAGTTGTTTTGAACTTTCCATCATATTTGTGGGCAGAGAAGTTTGGTGGTCATTCCTCCAATTTTCTCCAGGAAATTGGAAATTCTCTATCAGTTTCTCAAGGATGGGACCCTTCTCTGGCAGGAATAGTTCATTCCTACTGAAAAAGTCAGGGGATGAGTTTGTTGGATTTGTCAGATATGCAAAAAGATGTTCAAATGATTGTGTAGTGAAAGGTGTCTAATTTATGATTAACTTAAATGCAAGAGTTCCATAATCTATATGTGAGAATTTCCCCAGAATTCTCCTTTCCTTTGAAAAATTCTCCTATGCCATTCTCCTGTTATATTAAATTGAGTGAAAACTATAGAAAATAGTAACATAATGTTTTTGTTCAACACTTTGATTAGTCTCATTATTATGTTTTAAGATGAATTGCTTTTATGTGATTAATATTCTTAAATGCTATTAGCAGTGAAATGGCAGTAATTCTGTCAAACATCAAAATCCAGAGAAGGCCACTGGTGGTTTATTCTGTTTCTACATAAAGATTCATGAGGACAAAGAATGTGCTAGAAGGACATACTGAAGCAGAAAGGAAAAAGTAGAAGAATTTATAAGGTTATTTGATGAGATTAACTGCTCAGACAAAATAAATAACTTAGGTTTCCCGTATTTGTAATATGTAGCATGTTCATATCTTGCACTAAGATGGTTTGTTCAACAAGTATAATACATTAAGCCTAAACCATAATTTGTAAAATACAGTAATTAGATTTGTACAGTAATAAACCAGAAACAACAAACTACATTCTGGCTTAGTGTGATATGCTATCCCAATTGTTGTTGTTGTCAAGCATTATATTAGAGCCTATTGCAGTCTTTCCCACCCTATGTACTACTCTAATATGTGGCTTTTAATTCCCAGATTTCCCCAGCTTAATATAACCATTGCTGAGAATTATGAAAGGTCTGTGTATTGAACAAGTGGGAGAGACTTGATCTGTTTGATAAAATCTGCCATGTTTGCTTGGTAGGCCAAAAATGTGGCTAACATAGGAAATTATAAAAACAAATCATAAAGGATTGGCTGCTAGTTTAGGGCACACATACCTCTCAGCACCGTCTACCTTAATAAATAAATAAATGTTCTCTGAGAATGTAAACATTTACAATACTCAGTACTGATTACTTATTTTTTCAAAATGCTCATTCATCTTAGAATTTAGTGAGACTCTTGGGAAGTATGTTCGCTTTGTTAGCTTAGTGGCAACTTCTTTAGTAATCAGTAAAAAAAAGCCATGGGGTTGCAGATTGATACGGCATTGATAATGTTTTGTTTTTTAAATCTGTTTAATCTCATGAGAAACTATGAGACAAATGAGACCAGCACTGCAAAGCATGCAGGAGAAACATAAATTCCCATAAATTATCCATTTGCCCATGAAATGCATTTCCTATGAAACCCACCTTATTTATTTATTTGTTTGTAGCTTGTCAAAATCAAAAGACCAAGACGGTGCTTACAACACATTGGAATTATAAAGAACTGCAACAATAATAAATTAGCACTCCCCCGCAATAGCATAAGTAACACTTAGCTAGGTTGAGAGCTCAGTAAAATAAAAGTGACCTCAATGACCAGTCATCTTCTAAATACCACTCAATATGTAAATTCCTTTAATATATAATTAGAAAATTAAAAATGTGACCTTGCTGCATGCTATGTTAAAACTAGAAATCATCTGGTTTTCAATGGTTATTTTACTAGAATGTCAAGAACTACATTTCAAAAATGTGTCCCAAAATGGTAGAAAGTTTCCATAGGTGAAATGACAGCTGTAAACTTACCCAGGGGACAAAAAATGGGATCATCTTTTTTGCTCCACCTACTCTGTGGGGCTCTGGGAATGGTGAGGATGCTGGCAGGCTGTACCTGGCCTGTATGCTGCATTTTTTGCCCCTTAGTATACATCCTTCACAGTGCCTGAGGATTTTCTGTCCAACTGTGCAGATATCTCTCATGTTTTTGTTTTTTTTTCTTGTAGTGGGGCAGACCTACTGGCAGTCAATGCAGATGGCAACATGCCATATGATCTCTGTGAAGATGAACCAACTCTGGATGTTATTGAGACCTGCATGGCATACCAAGGTAAGCAGGATATGGGAACCTGGAACATCAGATGAGATTCTGTCAAATTTTTGCCCCACGGTATAATTTTTTTGTTTGGAGACTAAGGCAGTTTGTACCAATCTCTTCCCTTTCAGATGCATTGGTGTGAAATGCTCATTTATTCTTGCTGTTGATCACAGCTAGAATTCTGGGAGTTATAGATAAACATAGGTGCAGCACCAACAGATTGGAAAACACTGTTCTGCCATGTAAGCACTTATTTGGGACTAGATTGGGACTGATTTACAACAATTCATTTAGTGACTGTTCAAAGTTACAACGGCATGTGACATATGTCCGTTGCAGCATCCCCATGACCATGTGATCAAAATCCAGATGCTTGGCAACTGGTTCATATTTACGACCTTTGCTGTGTCCCAGGATCATGTGATCACCTTTTACAGCCTTCTGACAAGCAAAGTCAATGGGAAAGCCAGATTCACATAACAACCAGGTTACTAATTTATCAACTGCAGTGATTCACTTAACAACTGTGGCAAGAAAAGTCGTAAAATGGGGGAAAACTCACTTAACAAATGTCTCACTTAACATAAGAAATGTTGGGCTCAATTGTGGTTGTAAGTTGAGGACTACCTGTACTGGAAATGCAGAAGCAGCATTTCCATTCATTTGTTCATTTTATCAACTGTGAGTTATATTTTCTGCTTGGTGTCATGGATGCATAATATGTGCAATTGTTATGCATAAACATTTTGTTTATTATTATTAAATTTGGAAAAGATCAATTTAGAATGAAAAAGTAACATTCATAAGAATCCTGATTTTTTAAAATGCCTTTTTAATGGTTTTTCTTACTGAAAAGATAGCAGGGTTGTTCAGATATTACGTGTGAATATAATGTTATAAAAAGTAACCAAAATATAAAAAGCAAATAGTAGGTGCATTATCAATATATTTCTTTTACAATTTTTCCCTTAAGAAAATGTAAAAAAAAACACCTTGATTTTTTAATATTTCTTTTTAAAATGAAGTATTAATAATTAAGAAAAGTGTTCATATATTGCAATGCAATGTTTACTCTCCCACATGATTTCTAAAACTTATATAACAGGAAGACTATTTAGAGTATCAAATCATTACAGTTCATTTATACAAAGGACATATTATACAATATAGCTCTGAAGTCAAGGTCAAGAATGCAACTCTTCCTCCAGTTGGTACTGAGATATTTCATAAGGAAAAGAAGGACTTGGTACATTTTTTAAAACTCATGAGTCTATTTCCTCTTTCTAACTTTAGATAGAGAGTTCAGTAGAATTTTTCTGATCTCCAATATGCCTTAAAGCACTGAGACTAGGATAGACACATTGTATTATGTTATATCTGTAATTTTATTGCCATTTAAAAAAAAACAAATACAGAGAAAACAATATGGAAAAATAATTTAAAAGATAGCAATATGCACATGTCCAGCAAATTAATTAAATATTGAGTTACAATAGCAAGGCAAAGAAAAGAAATTAAACAAGGGGAACAAACAAAAATAACCCTAAAAATTAACTTATTAAATTAATTTAAAAATAATAAAAACTTAGCTGAGGTTAAAAAAAAAATACAGAATAAAAATTCTCACAGAAGCATGTCTTTTTTAAAAAAAAAATTTGATTTATATGCTGCCCTTCTCTGGAGACTCAGGGCGGCTTACAATGCGTTAAGCAATAAGTCTTTTAGGCCTTGCACAAGGCTGAGAGGGTCAGGACAAATCTGCTTTCTGGGGGAAAGAAGTTCCAGAGAGTGGGTTCCAGGACAAAAAAAGGCTATGTTCCTGGGCCTGAATAAAAATGGTTTAGTCTTGTAAAATAAGATAAAATCTAGGCCAAAGAGATACTTAATTGCATCACTGTTTCTGAAGAGTCAAAAAATACCTTTTCAATTTTCTTTTCAATCTTTGATATCTGGGGTAATAGCACTTTTCATGGAATTTTATCATTTTTTGGTAATATGGGTTAGATGTTGGGAATAGAGAAGAGAATTATACTGAGGCCCTGGGATTGGAATGGGAAATTGGTAGCAGCATTTTTGCATTTAAATAAATAAATGGGAAAGGCACTTTTAAAAATTATTATTTTTTCCCATTCATTTGCTTTAATGTTTCCAGGAATTGTTACAGTGCAAATTTCCTCTTCTATTCATTGTAGGAATCACACAAGAGAAAATCAATGAGATGCGAGCTGCTCCTGAACAGGGAATGGTTGATGATATTTCAGAGATGATTGCAAGAGGAGAGGATCTGAACATAATAGATGCTCAAGGTGCTTCACTGGTGAGCCGTAGCCATATTGCTTTTACAGCTGGCATGCAGACTGGCCATCTTTGAATATAGTTGGACCTATACACCTTCAAGATACCCTGTAGGGTTTTCATATATATATTATGCCAAGGCTTAACTGCTGCTTCTCCTGTATTACATCTGGAAAAGCATAGCTGCTTTTAACTTGGAAGTAGACATATGGAGACTTGTTAGATTCATGATTGGGGCTGGGGATATGAGTTGGGTGTGTTGCCTATTACATTTGCTTGTTTCCTGCAACAGAATGACTGGAATTGAAATTTGAGGTTGCAAATGAATGCAAAAAATAAATAAATCTCCAGCCCAGTGTTCAAGTTGCCACATGCAAACTCTAGTACATGTACACTAAAGACAGAGTTAAATACAATATTTCTATACAGTTGACATTTACATAGAAATTAATGTTTCTATACAGTTGACAACTACATAGAAAGTAGTTGGCAGAAAGTATGGAACTGGCCAAAGATTCATTTTGTAATCCTATGTCTGTTCAATAACAGAAACAGTAATAGAAATCTCTTAACATACTATACTGATCTCATGGAATAATCATTAATTTAGGCTAAATTTGGGACTGGAGATTCGAATAAACTAATCTTATAGTTTTATCTGTCTATTTATCAGATTTGCATTCAACAGTAGAGATTATCATGGAACTGCCTTTCTGGATGAGGTTAGACTCAATGATGGCTAAATTAGGTGCTTCACCCTGTAAAAGCTTCTGCTATGTTATTCTACTGTGTAGTACTGTATATGTCAGAGATTGAACTTGGATTGCAAAGTCAATATAATAACAGAGCAAGGGAAATAAATAATCATATTCTTCTTATATTTTCATTAACTTGTTAATGGTGAATTCTGCGTTAACTGGTCTAAAAAATACATTCAAATAATGTGAAATGTAATGCATAAAACAGAAACAATGAAATGATTTTATAAGAATGGTCCCATGTATTCATAAGTGCTGATACTGACTTTGACAATGCATATTTTTTTAATAACATGACTGCAGTTCTAATGAAATACACATTGTACAATATTACTAGGGTCTTAGTAATACATAATAGGCATTACCCCATGCTATGGAAAAAAGGATTTTCCCCATATTATCCATTGAATCTAAATAAGGGGTAGGATTCTAGACCAGGGGTGTCTAACTTGCGGCCTGTGGGCCAGATGCGTCACACGCTGGCCACGCCCCGTTTAGCAAAGGGGGGAAAAGTTGGGATGACGCCATGACGATGCAAGTTTGATATCCCTGTTCTAGACCAATAAAAGATCTTGTTTCATCCATAAACTATAGAATTCCCTACTAATAGTGGATAGTGCCCACCATTCTAGGCAGCTTCAAAGAGAAATTCCTAGAGATTAGACTGGCTTGACAACTGTAGATTATCTCCAGAATCAAAGGTGGCATCTTTAAATAAATACTGCACTGAAATATTATGGAACACAGCTATTGCCTTTAACTTCTGTTTGCTTTTTGAATGGCTGCTATACATCAAGAATGTTGAACTAGAGAGAAGTTTTTTTGCATATTTCTCCAGGGGTTTTATGGTCATACTTTTTGCTCCGCTGAAATCATGGTACAGTTGTGTAATTAGGAGTGAGGCCATCTCACTAGGGATTTGGGGAGGAAAAATTAGTCCAGTCTTATCCTTCAGAGCCAGTTAACACACTTAAATTGCTTTTCTCTTCTCCAAAATTGTTATTACCTGTGACATGATGTGGTGGGACGAAAGAGCTAGAATGGCATTCATTTTGAATCTTCTCATAACATCAGCTTCAGGGGAACCTTTTAGGTGAAAGAAGAAGCAAAGTTAACGGGCTTTTTCCACTGTACAAATAGAAGCAAAAACCCCATAAAAATGTCCACTTTTAGTTGAATCTTAAGACATTTTATTTTACTTATTTATTTAAAAGATTTATAAGGCTCCCTATCAGAATGGCTCACAATAGCAAGACATGGTGCTTGATGCTAGAATCCAACTTTGGGCTGCCAGCGCAGATTTTTAATGCAGGTATTACCTGTTTCCATTTGCTCAAGAAACCTTACCATTGATTAGTTAATACTCAATTATTATATATTTAATAATGCATATTTATTTGGTTTGGTCAATGTAAGAATAGAACCCACATTATACACTAGCTTCCCCTAGTCTGAAATGAGGCTGACTACTATAGGAAGCCATTGATAATTAAGTTACATAGAATGAACACCAGGTTAGCTGTAAACCAAATCAAAACAAGACAAAAATCAGTATTAAAAAGAATATGCAAAGAAAAAAAAATAAGGGTATACAGATACTTGTGCATATATTACAGAAAATTGCAGACATTTAAAACATTCTTATTTCTTCCTGGCTATAGTTACATATATCTGCCGCCAATGGTTATCTACATGCAGCAGAACTGCTTCTAGACCAGGGAACCAGACTGGACCTCAAGGACTGTGATGGCTGGGAACCCCTCCATGCTGCTGCTTTCTGGGGACATGTATGTGTTTCATTAACGGACCAGTTCAAATAGGACTAGAGCAATCAAGAAAAACTGAGTTATCAAGAGATATTTACTATATAGCTATATGGAATCTGTCCAGAACTGTGTGTCGCTGAACGTCAGCTTGGGGCTGTTCTTGTGAGAAGAGGCAAGCAGAGAGTAGGATAGTAATTTACTGCACTACCTAGTTGTGAATCATCCTTAAAACATCAGTATAACTTCCTGGTTTAGCTCAATCTTGCCCAGCCTAGTATATTTCAGAAGTATTAGATTATGACTTCTAGAAGTCACCCATTCTCCAGGCTGAGTAGAGCTTATGAAAATTTAAATCCCAGTATTTCTGAAAGGCACAACTTGGGGAAAATTGAAGTGAAATATTTATTAGATTTGATTTATTAGTATGTAACCTGTTGCCATTGAGGGCCTCATTGCTGTCTCCTGATTTACTGCATGTTAGATGATGCACATGTGCAGAATTAGTAGTATATTAGATATGTTCAAAAGTTTCACACACTCTCTCATACTTCATTTTAATTTTAAGGTAGTTATTGAAAACGTATCTCGCCTTAGAGGGTCTACCTTCATACAGGTATCCTAGCCTCAGAGGTGGGTTCCAGCAGGTTCTGACTAGTTCTGGAGAACCGGTAGCAGAAATTTTGAGTAGTTCGGAGAACCGGTAGTAAAAATTCTGACTGGCCCCGCCTCCATCTATTCTCTGCCTCCCGAATCCCAGCTGATCGGGAGGAAGTGGGGATTTTGCAGTAACCTTCCCCTGGATTGGAGTGGGAATGGAGATTTTACAGTATCCTTCCCCTGCCACGCCCACCAAGCCACGCCCACCAAGCCATGCCATGCCCACCAAGCCACACCCACAGAACTGGTAGTAAAAAATTTTGAAACCCACCACTGCCTAGCTTATATTGTGAGTGCTAGATTTAACTAAAACTTGGGTGATGTTGTGGGAAGGTATTACATTTTAACATCATTTTCTTTATTCCAGATGCAAATGGCGGAGCTATTAGTGTCCCATGGGGCAAACTTGAGTGCCCGAACAGCTATGGATGAGATGCCAATAGGTGAATTCCTGCCATTTCTATTCTTAGCCAAAGTTTTGACAGCATGACTCTTTTAGGAATTGCTCTCTTAGCTTGTCCAGCCCTTGTATCCTTAAATTAGTCAAAGTTTCTACAAGAAATTTGGAAAATACACACACACACACACACACACAAAATTTTCTTACTTCTTCGTAGGATTTATGTGTGTTTTTCCTCTAGCCAGGTTTTTCCTACGTAACCAAGGTTTTTCTGCAGCCCTAGCTCAGTGGAATCACATCCACTCGATTCTGGGCTTTTTTTCTTTCTGGCAGCCAGCAAGCTTTTGCTGCCAGGTGAAAATCTGTGTCTTGTATCAAGGATGTAGAAAGAAAAACTGAGTCTGAATTATGTCTTCATATCACTTTAGAATAAAACCATTGCATTCACTTTTAAGTATTTCTTCAGTAATCCTGAAATTGTCAGATGGTCCTAAAAGCTATTTATGTGTTTAATATTTCTTAAATTGAAAGCAGAGCCCAGACATTCTCATAGATTATTCTCATAGATTATTAGATTATAGATTATAGCTCATAGATTAACTATGGATGCTTAAGGAATAGTTTCAGATGCACTTCTTGGGCAAATATATCCTTCAGAATATAGATGTCCCCTGCATTGCCCACTTCTCTAAATCTACAAATCCTGATATTAGTAATTAAAATGCAATCTGTATAGTATACTAATATCCCATATGTACTGTACATACATATATATATTTAAATTGGATTTTTAAATAGAAAATAAAGACAATCAGAAAGACATTTTCCCTTCCTTAGAGTCAGAAGAAGGCATGTCAGAAGTGACTGGATATTTACTGCATCTGCAATAAGTAAACAAAGTTGTTTTACAGGACTGCAAATATCTGGGTGACCATTAGATGGAAGCAAAGAGGTACAGAACCTTTTGGGTGCAATTTAACTTTTGGGTGCAATTATCCAGATTTATGTAGCTCTGATATGGTAGCCTTAATCCACAGTGATCTTCAAATAACAGTAGGCAAATCTGCAATCAACTCTATGGTTCTTAAAGATATGCAAGACTCCTATTTTTCCTTATCCTGACCCATGTACTACCATGTAGAATGTCTACTGGATGCAATAGTTCATGCTTATGTTTGTTTTATCATCACTGAACAATTCAGTTAAAGGAATTTATCTGTGTTCCTTTAGACCTGTGTGAAGAAGAGGAGTTTAAGGTTCTACTCTTAGAGCTGAAGCATAAACATGATGTCATCATGAAATCTCAGATGAGACATAAGTCCTCCTTGAACAGGAGAACATCAAGCACTGGGAGCAGAGGGTGAGTGAATAAGGGGGGAAAATCTGTTCTCAGTCAGTCTTAAGTTTTTTCTAAACTACAAGATTGAACTTCTTGAAGTTGATTTTCACCATGACCATCTAATTTTGAGGTGCAAGAAATGCTAACCAAAATATTTGTACTAAGATACACTGTCCCCCAAAACCACTACTATTTTTCTACAGGTTTTATCTGAAGCAAATAGGGTCCATATTTCAGATAGATTTTAAAATTAGTATTTCACTCTATTGATAAATCTTTTCTCTATTAATCGGTGGCCTGACCTCACATTAGAAAATTGTGCACTCATTTGGTAGAGTTGAATAAAAGAAACTATCCAGCAGTTCAACATGTGCTGTCATCTATTATGGCATTCAAAATATGGTTTAACAAATAATATTGACAAAAGATTGCCAAGTTTAAATAGGTTATTATATTTGGCTTGTTCATAAGGCAGGGATCAACAAATCTTTCAAATGGTGGATACATTTGGAAATATGCTATAGATACCTCATTAGCCATTATCATTGACATAGCCAATTATACTGTTTTCAAGAGAAATCCATATTATGCCCTCTAGTTCTGCATCACTGTACTTTACTATTGTCGTTTGCGGGGGGGCGGGGGCAGATAGACAAACTTAAAAACAAAATACTGGCCTGAATCTAGGCACCATTTTTAGTCTAATAAAACAAAAACTCTTGACTTCTGTTCTTTTGGTTAGCTATAAGATCTATGTTACGTATCCTTGATTTAAACCAATTGCTTTATACTTTGAGTAATCTGGAAATAGAGTTTCATGCAATGTAAAATGGATAGCAATAGGGTACTTTTTTTTCTATTAGCTAGAGGAACATGCAATGATATTTTAAGCTATGAGTACTGCTCAATGGGCAACAGAAAGGGATACTGCAAGTTGCAACTACATCTGGAGTATCATTTATGGCTTCATGGGAAGTCATAAAAAGAATAGTTCATTAAATGAAACACCAAGAGATTTCCCCATCATAATTAGGATATAGATATGAACTTACTCTAATTAATAAATATCCTGGTGTATGATACTGTATGTAAGAGTGCCAGTTTAGTGTAGTGGTTAAGGCATCAGGCTATGAACCCTGAGTTCTAGGCTCAGAACTCACATTAGAAAATTGATACTTAGATACAAAGCCAGGTGGGTGACTTTGGGCCAGTCATTCTCTCTCAGCCCTGAGAAACAGGCAATGGCAAATGACTGCCATTGAAAAAACTGCCATGAAAACACAGGGATTTGTCTCTAGGCAGTCACCAGGAATCAAGATTGACTTGAAGGCACCAAAAAGTAGCTTTGTATTTATGAATTTAAATGTGCAATATTTAAATGCTCAAGAAATGTTATTCCATACAAATTGTGATGAAAATTAATTTAGAATCCAAAACTTTCTTAGTGTTTGAATATGTATGTCATGTACTTATTTGTCCAACAACTTGTGATAAAAGCAGCAGTAAGATTTATAATTAATAGAGGAACAATTTGCAGGTTGACATATTTACATGATTAAATAGCTGTCTGAAAAATTCTAAACCATGAACGTGTAACAGAAATGAATTTAATTTAAAGTGAGGGAGTGATTCAGTATGTGATATGGATGGATGAGGATTCATCCATGAATTTCAATTTTGCGATGGTTGACAATCTACTTTTGAATAAATAAAAAGAATGACTCATGAGTACCACCTGATGTTAGAAAACTGGTCCATTTCTGCTCAGGTAGACGTCTTTCTTTCTTCAGAAAAGTGCAGCTATATTCATTTCTGCAAATCACCATTTTAGTAAATCTCTTCTCTTCACATATTGTCCTAGAAAAGTGGTGCGGAGGGCAAGCCTTTCAGATCGAACAAACCTTTATAGAAAGGAATATGAGAAGGAGGCTATCATCTGGCAACAGATAGAATCTTCTGAGGAGCAAAGAACTTCTGATTACAATATTGACATTCGGGAGGCTTCCTCTAACCAAGAGAACACAGATCCAGTAAGGAAAATCTAATAATTAATATATTTTCTTGTTCCTATTAAAGCATTTCCAATCAAGAAACCATGTGAATCTTAATGGAGCAACTAAAACTCATGATAACCAAAGCGTATATGCCTATTATGCAATCTTTTTTATTTCCCTTTCCATCTTACGTTGATATCATTGCTGACCTCTCACATTTTTTAAAGGAAAAAAATATTCTTTACAAATTCCTTTTAGTGAAGAAAAAGCCACGTACTGGTTTAACATTCAGTACAGCAAGACTGCACATTTTCTTCTTAATCATACTTAGCCTCAGAGTTGTGTGTTGGGGGCATAATAGATGGGACAAGGAAAAAGAAAACTATCATTGACTTAACCTGATTACCATCTAGATCAGGAGTCTGCAACCTGCGGCTCTGAAGCCGCATGTGGCTCTTTCATCCCTCTGTTGTGGCTCCGTCACTCAAAACATGCGTCACAACTGCCAATGTGCGACAGCCGCCAGCACATGATTTATTGAGCTTTTTGACTCATTTTTTTTTCAGAGTTCAAAATGTTTTTGTTGCATGCAGAAACAAAAAAATTGTTTTCTCTGTAGCAGTTCACTGATTACATAAATGCAACACAGTATAGTTTTTTTATACATAGCATAAAGGTAAAAAATGATATATGCAGTGTTATCTTCATTTTAGATGTCAAAAGGTTTTTGTGGCTCCCGGTGTTTTCTTTTCTGTGGGAAACGGGTCCAAATGGCTCTTTGAGTGTTTAAGGTTGCCGACCCCTGATCTAGATCCTTGGTCAAATAATGTATTATTTTTCCTCTCTTTAAGAAATTCAATTTGGTAAGAACTTTGGGGAAGGGATTCTCTGGCAGCCACACCAAAGATTTTGGGATATCTCATGTGGTCCTGAGCCTTTGGTTGGATAGCTATGTAGTAGAGCACAAGGGCTTGATTTTATAATGCAAGAAAATCAGTAAACATGGACAAATTATCGGGTTTTTTGATAGATGCAACAGCAAAGTTACCCCTCATATTTATTTTTGTGTTTCAGAATTTGACCGCTGATACAGCTATAATCCTTCCAGAGCTGGTAACAAAAGGAACACAATGTGATTCAGAAAATTTGCTTCAGAATGGACTCAGTCTACCCTCCATTCCTTACCAATATTCTATTCCAAATGGAGATATTTGGTTAATGCATTCAGTCCTGGACAATGATGGAAGCCAAGCATTGCCCTACAATACCCCTGGGATTTCTGACTCTCATCACATCTGGGAGGAGTACAAAGAAAGAAGCCACCAAACCCTTTCTGAACTGAAACGGCAGCGAGCAGCAGCCAAACTTCTCAATCACCCCTTTATCAGTACACACTTTGCAAGCGGTATAGGAGACTCAGTGGAAAATGGGGGAGAAGCTAAAGAACATTTGATTAATTCCAGGACACCTTCTTATACATCCAATGGAACTTCAGTTTATTACACCATATCAAGTGGTGACCCACCTCTCTTAAAATTCAAGGCTCCCATGGAAGAAATGGAGGAGAAGGTGCATGGCTGCTGTAGGATTTCCTGATCTCAGTTTATTCCTACCAAGTTGGTAGGCATGTTGCATCTACTACTGAATCTTCATTTTTACTTTTGCAGGATCACAGAATCTGGTTCAATCATCTGGGACTATACCTAATTCCATATTTTGTTTTTACAGTTTCATTAAAAATTGAGCATGTGTAGGTGGAAAGAGAAGTGAAACTCTACACATAACTTTTGTCTACTAGATGAGAGAATGCTCATTTGATTGCAACTCTAATCTGATTTGAAATATCTATTCATGGGTTTCTGGGACCATAATCGGCACATCAGAAATAAATTCTGTTGACATTGGTACAGCATTACTGACAAATACTCTTTTACAAGCAGACTAGGTAAACAAGAGAGGACCCAGTTTCTCTGTGTAAGGTTTTGCACATGAAGATATATGCACTTTATGATAGCAACCAACCCAAAAACATAGCCTCTAATGTGACTGCACTGTTGGAATGTTAACTATCTTGCTGCCAATTTTGTTTTGCCATCATTTATTAGCGTTCATTTTTTAAAATCATGATGTAGGTTTTCAACTGTTTTAAGGAAGAGGTTATTTTCAGCTCCTCAGAGGAGCAGTACAGTTAAAAAGATTCATGCTTCTATCTATCCTTCTCCACTGAGAGTCCTTTTTAGTTTGCACTTGAAAATATTTTGCTATGCATTGCAGTAGTGTAGCAAATTTTACTTCATCATGTTCCGTCAGAGAACTTCCATTTTTGATTTTATCTCCAACTTCTATTTTGAAGATTTTGTGAGAAGTTTTCTTTCTTCCCAGTATTATGCCTTGCAACTTGTACTATTATTTGATTAGCTTGTTCTGCTGTACATTAAAAAAAACCCTTGAAGTGGCTTTTAAACATTAAATCTATACTAGGATTTGAGGATGAGGTTGGGCATCATTTTGTTTCACTGCAAATTTCAGCTAAATCTTTGTACTTACCACTTTCTGCATTTTGTTTGGCCAAGAAACTGGTGGCCAGAATTTATCTGCTAGAATTTAGTTGTATTCATAGGAGATCTACATTCCTGAGTCAGGTTCTCCTCATCATTACACATTTATCTACCCTTCTTTTCTCTGATGCTATCTAATTGTGTTAGGAATATAATATTCAGAATTCACTGCCTGCACTTGGAGGGTAAAGCTGCAAATTTCCCATGTTAACATTGTAAGAGTGTTGTGCATTGCTCCACTCCACAGAAGCACATGAGGAGGTTTTCACATTGAATAAAAGCCACTTAGCAATATCTAGCAAAAATATTTGAATTTGCAGATGACCAGCACATAGTCATGTGGTGGAAGCCTGATTGCCAATTAGAGATAAATACGTATTCTTATTACCCATAAGACACTTAACTGCACATTTCATTTTAGTTTGCTGAAAGGTGTACTGGTCACTGTTGGTCTTGTTTTTTAACCCAACCCTTTCTTGACTCATACCTGATTTATGAAATAGTAATGATTTAATCTTAATTCTCTATAAAGTTTTTTTATTAGAGTGAAAGGAAAGTGTAACTTCTGAAACTCTTCATACTACATCTGATGTACTCTTCCATCAATTGAAGATTAGATTTGGAATTCTCTTGCTAAAACCCAAAGTCTCTATTCCTTTGGCAACCATTTTACAAGCAAGAAAGCAAACTAACTTTTCCTTAACAGGGAAAACAGTGTACAACACATAGCAAACTAGCTATCTAAAAGGCAAACTAGGCAACTTAGTCTTTCCTACTATATATCCAAGGGTATAATTTTTAGAATAATTACAGGGCTTTTAAAATTACATATATATATTGCACATGATGCACATGATGAAGGGGAATGTTTCATCTGAAGAAGTGTCTGCAGTTTTATGAAAAGCATTCTAGAAATCTGAACTTGTATTTAACACACAATAATGAGAAATAGTCTTCAATGCAAGATAGCAAATTAAGAGCAGCTGTGCGTTGGCAAATTATATGTGATTAAAATGACTGTTTCAGCAATGAAAATCTCACATCTTATTTAATTCATGATGTTGGAAAAGTATCTCTTAAGTATCGTGCTAGAGCTGATAAATAATAAAGTAGCTGAAAATTTCACCTATTATTCAATATTTAGTCAATTTTGTACTTGCAAATATAACTGCAAAACAATTGTCTTTGTTTATTTTTACTTATTTTTTATTCAGTTTTTCAAAAGATCCTTTAAATTGGAGAAAGAGGATAATCCTGAAACAGATTTTGTTTAGACTTTTTCTCTTTTAACTAAATTGTTAGGTGCATGCTCTCTCTGAAGCTTTCTACTTACAGAGCTGTATATCTGAGCAGGTAATCGTGGTTCTGTGTTTTCAATAATGTCAAAATTGTAAAGTGTTGTTGAATATAATATGCAGTAGGAATTAAGGATAGTTCCGTACAATCTTCCTTCTTGTCCAATAGTCGAAAGAATTGTTCTGTAGTTAGTAGCAAGGAGACAGGTGTTTAACAAAATTTCTCAGCATTTATATCAAGTTATGATTTATAGGAGCCATGACAGTAAATTTATGTAGTGATCAATAATTGTATGTCGAAGAAAAAGCAGTGTTAATGTAAGTGCTTTGGGTCCTGATCTAGTTTCTTTCTGCTTGTAACTTTCTTGAGTTTTATCACTTCTATATTTTTTTCTCCAAAACTCTGTTAAAGAGGAAAAAAATAGCATCTCACCTTTAGCTATTTTTGTGCATTGTATCTGGGAGTACCCATAGATTCTTCTGATACTTCAAGTAATGCTATAATAAAAAGACATGCAATCCCCCTTAAACTGGGCTGCAGACAAATTCAATTACCCCAACATATGATTACATGAAGACAAGAGAATCTGGATGTACAATCCCTGGTTTCTATCCATATATCCCTATATCAGAAGAGCATGTTCTGAGTAATATTCCGAAGAAGATTTAACCTAAATATTAAAGACTAATATTAAAATATTAAAGAGTTTTGAGCAGGCATCTAGAGCAGGGGTGTCAAACTCACGTCGTCACGACAGCGTAACATGATATATTGGGATTCCCCCTCCTCTCTGCTAAACTGAGCATAGGTGTGGCCAGTGCATGAGGCATCCGGCCCATGGCCTGGGAGTTTGACAGCCCTGATCTAGAGTAATTTTCATAAAAAAATTTGGACATGACAGAAAATTCAGGCCTTTCAGTAACAGGCCATAGGTCTGCAAATTCCTCAATGCATTATTCACTAATGTGTGAATTGGAGGAGTGCAATCTCAGTTAATTATAAGCACTTAATTATTGTTACTTTGAATTGATTACTTATGTGTATGTTTTAAATCAGTTTTAACCTATTGATTACAATGTCAAGGTGTTCACTCTGCACTAACAGGCTATAGCCTATTATAAAAACAATTGTGAAGAGGAAGCTGTGGACTCGGCTGAAGGTTTTGGGGTGAGTGACAAGTATAACTGCCTGGGGAATTTCTATTTTACTTAGATCAGGGCTGTCAAACTTGCGTTGTCATGGCGTCATGTGACGTATTGGGACTTTTCTCCCTTTGTTAAACCGGGTGGGTGCGGGGCCAGCATGTGACACATCTAGTCTGTGGCCCCTGACTTAGAGGCTGACAATAGTAAAGCGTGGTAATTTTCAAGGGTCTGGATGGTAGAAGAGAGATTATACAGTATTTAATCTGCTTTCTAATACAGTCCTTTCCAATGCATGCAGTGCCTGATTTTTTTTAAAAAAAAAATCAGCTTTGTTGTAAATCTATATATGCAGAATTGTAAGATATTTATTATACTACCACCAATTGGGAAAGCAACAATAGAAAATATATCGATGTAGTTTTTTTAAATGCTATTTCTTTATTAACTTCTTGAATTTATACCAGCTCTTTAACATTCAGTGTATTCTGAATACAAGTCTGTCATGCCCCCAGCTGGAGAGTAAAAGTATTACACAATATATATTTTTCAGATGTCTGATGCAGTACTCAAGTTACCACAATGCAGGAATTTAAGAAGCCATAATCTAGTGGTGGTCCTCCAACTATTGTTGAATTTCAACTCCTGTAGCCCCCAGATTTTATAACTAACAAAGATCCCATGGGACTTGTGGAAACATGTTCCTCACAGTTGGTATAGACTTTAGAGAATCGTTTTATAGCATGACTGGCTCAGATTTGTTTTTCTCATTCCTACCGATCTGAAAAATGTCTTTTTACTTGCTTAATCTGTAAATTCAATTAAAATAACACTCATACCATACTCCATCTGGTATATATTAAGTCCCAAGTGCAGTTTGTATTTTTTTTTCTGTGTGAGGCATTGAATAAAACAGCCCTAAGACACTTGGGGAAAACAAGCTATAAATCCCAAGTTATCATTTCAAAACCAGACTTGCCATGCATTGTGGCAACTTTATTCTCGTGACTACTCTGAGAAATTTTTATGGAATCAAAATATTTTTAGACAAACTCTAATGTTTATTTTATATATGGGTGGGTTGAAATAGCATCTATTTCCAGAATATCTATTTTGCTAATAATTGCAAGCTGTAGGGTTTTTCGATCTTCCTCAACTTGGTGAAGTTTCATGGAACTGAATGAATATTTTAACTAGAGCCTTGGTAGTACAGTGGTTTAATGCACCCTGTAATTAACACAGCTGCCTGCAATTTCTGCAGGTTCGAATCTTACCAGGCTCAAGGTTGACTCAGCCTTCCATCCTTTCTAAGGTAGGACCCAGTTTGTGGGGGCAATAAGCTGACTTTGTATAAATATACAAAAGTATGAAGGCTATTGCTTAACACATTGTAAGCCGCCCTGAGTCTCCGGAGAAGGGCGGCATATAAATCAAATTAAAAATAAAAATAAAATAAAATAAAATATTTTGTGAAATATTCATGGAGCTGAAAATAACAACGGGAGGTCTCAAGAAATTGTAGAAATGTGGTCTGTAACTTTATGCAGAAAGACGTGTACATTTTATTGTATGAAGCAAACAAAAATGCTTGTAAACAAAAAGAGTCCCTTCCAGACAGATATCTGTTGCTTTTGGGGGAATGCAATGGCATGGCCAAATGAGTTTTTCAAAGAATGTAGTCATGTACATTTTGCGACTTTTGAAATTAATGCCTATTAAAATATAATCCAGCCATTCCTCTGAGTTCTATTAGCAATGGAAAACATCCACAATCTACTTGAAATTTTCTTTTGCACACTTTTCTTTTGTAATTTAAATAGCTCTCCCTATATCTATATTTTTGGAAATAATTCTATTATCTATAGCTCCAACTGTTTTGTAATTTTGAAACAATAAACAAAACAAAAATCCCTATGAGCTGTTTTTGTAGCATAGAATCTGGCCATCTGTATTCCTCTCTAAATTCTGTCAGTTCTGAATTTCAAATTTTTAGTAGAATCCTAATCTTTACTGTAAAAAGAAAGAAATGTCTAGTAATATCATTGGAAAACTACTGCTTTTTAATTAAGGGGCGTGTTGAAAATGGGCTATCTTTTTAAGACAGATTGTTGTAATTATTATTCTGGCATGAGGTAAATGTTACACGATAATTTAGCAGCAACATTTTTCAACATTGTCTGGAAAGAAACTGGACAGTAAGACCAATAAACAGTGACAATAAAGCTACATTCACACCATGTCAGCAGTTTGGTTAGCCTTTGCAATGATGACTCTAAGGATTTCATTGAAATATTTATACAAAAAGGGAATGGAGTAAAGAACTCACACCTGTACATATTAGCAACACAATATATATACCGTTTCCCCCAAAATAAGACATCCCCTGATAATAAGCCCAATCGTGCTTTTGAGCACATAGCAATGAGGCCAAGCACTTATTTCAGGGTTCAAAAAAATATAAGACAGGGTCTTATTTTCGGGAAAGCACAGTATACATTTGGGCTCATAAAATCTAATGTATTAAAAGTTTTTTTTAAAAGGATTATTTTCTATTTTTATGAAAATCTTAATATTATGATGTATGAAAAGATGGTTGTTCCATAACTAGTTGAAACAATATATGAAGTCTTAAACTGCTTCAGATATCTGATGGCATGGGATATATCGGTATTAGTTTCTGCCTTTGATTAAGTGAATACTTTTTAACTAACTATTAAATTTCCTTTATTAACAGGAAAGGAGATGAATGTTGATTCTTTGTGCCTATTCATAAGTAGGAAAAAAGGACCATGCTTGCAGAACTTTGATATCTCTTTGTCCTATGTATAAGCAGTGGTTTTTTTTTAAAGCAATAATCTATTTTGTTGCCTTGCAATAGGACCTAATGTAGAAGGAACCAATCTGTATCACTCCAGGTGTTGCTAAACTGTAACTCCAGCTTTTTCTGGGAATCTGGCCAATAATACAGGTGAAACTCGAAAAATTAGAATATCGTGCAAAAGTTCATTTATTTCAGTAATGCAACTTAAAAGGTGAAACTAATATATGAGATAGACTCATTACATGCAAAGCAAGATAGTTCAAGCCTTGATTTGTCATACTTTTGATGATTATGGCTTACAACTCATGAAAACCCCAAATTCACAATCTCAGAAAATTAGAATATTGTGAAAAGATTCAATATTCTAGGCTCAAGTGTCCCACTCTAATCAGCTAATTAAGCCATAACACCTGCAAAGGGTTCCTGAGCCTTTAAATGGTCTCTCAGTCTGGTTCAGTAGGAATCACAATCATGGGAAAGACTGCTGACCTGACAGTTGTTCAGAAAACCATCATTGACACCTTCCATAAGGAGGGAAAGCGTCAAAAGGTAATTGCAAAAGAAGTTGTATGTTCCCAAAGTGCTGTATCAAAGCACATTAATAGAAAGTTACGTGGAAGGGAAAAGTGTGGAAGAAAAAGGTGCACAAGCAGCAGAGATGACCGCAGCCTGGAGAGGATTGTTACGAAAAGGCCATTCAAAAGTGTTGGGGACTTTCACAAGGAGTGGACTGAGGCTGGAGTCAGTGCATCAAGAGCCACCACACACAGACGGATCCTGGACATGGGCTTCAAATGTTCTATTCCTCTTGTCAAGCCACTCCTGAACAACAAACACCATTAGAAGCGTCTTACCTGGGCTAAAGAAAAAAAGAACTGGTCTGTTGCTCAGTGGTCCAAAGTCCTCTTTTCTGATGAGAGCAACTTTTGCATCTCATTTGGAAACCAAGGACCCAGAGTCTAGAGGAACAATGGAGAGGCACACACTGCAAGATGCTTGAAGTCCAGTGTGAAGTTTCCATAGACTGTGTTGATTTGGGGAGCCATGTCATCTACTGATGTTGGTCCACTGTGCTTCATTAAGTCTAGGGTCAACGCAGTCATCTACCAGGAGATTTTGGAGCACTTCATGCTTCCTTCCGCAGACGAGCTTTATGGGGATGCTGACTTCATTTCCAGCAGGACTTGGCACCTGCCCACACTGTCAAAAGTACCAAAATCTGGTTCAATGACCATGGGATTACTGTGCTTGATTGGCCAGCAAACTCACCTAACCTGAACCCCATGGAGAATCTATGGGGCATTGCCAAGAGAAAGATGAGAGACATGAGACCGAACAATGCAGAAGAGCTGAAGACCGCCATTGAAGCATCCTGGTCTTCCATAACACCTCAGCAGTGCCACAGGCTGATAGCATCCATGCCACGCCGCATTGAGGCAGTAATTGATGCAAAAAGGTCCCAAACCAAGAACTGAGTACATATGCACGCTTATACTTTTCAGAGGTCCGATATTGTTCTATGTACAATCCTTGTTTTATTGATTTCATGTAATATTCTAATTTTCT